TCTAGACCGAGAGACCAAAGAACTCTAGTTATTTGAAGTGTGCCAGACAAGCTCCTACCCTGCTTTAGGCACAGGTGTAAGAGCTCTTTGGTTCCTTCCACAAGTTCAGTAACTGCTACTCCATGCACTGCATTGTATCTAGAATATTCTGGAACACCATCAGCTTCCTATATAAAAAAACTCGCAAGCTACAGTCTATAAAATACCATGGGGCAACTTTCATTAATTCAAATATTGCTTGAAGTACACTCAGAAAATTGTGCTAAACAGTTTGGCCATCAGACAGCACCACATGTGCTGTGAAGAGAGCACGTACTGTAGCCCTGCAAACTGAATGGGGCTGTCATTGAAACACAGGTTCCCTCGAGGGAATTGAATTGAGGAGACAAGACAATTTTACATGTCAACTTACTATAATGTAAACAGTAGCAGTTATAGCTGACAAGAAAATTGAACTGTTTTATATCCCAAGTGGGTCCTCCAACCTGTCTTGGAACCTTTGTTGAAAATTGTTTAATGGTTAAAGCTATTTTGGAAGAAGATCCTACTTGGAAAGACATTTCCTAGGCAGGCCTCTCCCGAGCTTTCAGTCTTCCCAGCCTTGCTAAATGCAAGTCCTCTGGAGCAGTGGTTTTCCAGGCTGTGTTGGCTGAATGGGACCAGACGGTGTTGGACCTGGACAGGTAACTGCTGAGGACAAAATGGGCTGGTGGTTCTTGCCAGTGCAATAACCACGTGTCACAAGGCAGCCACGCCGCCTTGCTTTGAGGGAAACTTAGGAAATATGTTCCCAAAAGGAACCTGGCTGACTGATAACTCTACCTTTCAGTGAAAATGATGGATTAGAGTGCCAATGCCTTGGCTATAAATACACTTGTGGCACATAATATTTTTCTGTCCCTCGTCAGGGTCTCCTGGTGATAATTTCCCTTTACTTGTTTAAAGAGAGCATTAGTACAAGYTTGTGAAGCTGTCACTTTTTCCTTTACAAACTTGAGAGCTGTTTTCTTCCTCTTATAYAGTCAAACTGGTTTATGCTGAAAGATTAAATCCAGAGTTGCCGTTCATTATCCATATTTAGCTGGAAAAGGCATTGCATGTCTGTTACCTGGAAAAAGATCAGTCTGACAGTTCTTTCCACCTTTATCACCTGATTTAGTAAATCTCCACTGGTGTCTGTCCCGTGAGAAATGGGTAGAATCCAGCTCTCAGTAACTGTGCACACCACAGTAGCACTTTAGGTCTCGGCTGATGGAGAGGACCCTTGTGCTGGTCAGTAAGGCAGGGCCGGACAGAACAAGGTGCAGCAGGAAGAGAACTAGCGAAGACAGAAGCAGAGAGCAATACATTAATAAAACGCAAGAAAAGATTTCAGTTCATCATGGTATTTCTTACCTTTTGAGCTGCGAGTTTTTCAGTTAGCCTGTCGTGGCTTGATTTAATGTCCTTAAGTGTGTGGGCTAGAATGTGTGCTGGGGTTTGGGTGGTATTTGGTGGAACTCCTAACAGTTTTTGTTAGCGCTTTGTTATTGTTCTGGAAAATAGTTACATGTTGGTTAACCATATGGATGAGGGGCTAGTGTATTTTTAGAAGACTGCTCAGATGTCTCAGTTCCCATTATGGCAATATTGTCATCTTGTGCTGTGGCTCAGTGCCACGATGCTAGTGTTTTATGTACTGAAAATCCAAACAAATATCYGAGCAATGCAGAGGGGGGTCAATGCAAGGAAGAGGGGCATTAGAAACTATGGAGTTGACCTTTAGCACCTGTGACAGGAATGGAGACCCTGGGAGTTAATTTCCCAAGCTGGGAAGTGGGGCCAGTAGGACCAGTCATTTCCAGTCCCAGCACAGGCTGCCAGTGCTTTTTCCACTCCGTTTTCCTACCTCTGTGACTCCCAGTGAACTTACCAGGATAAGAGGTGGAGACAACTTTTTAGCACAAGTTCTTGAAAACCCCCTTTCTTGTATTCCAGTTTATGACAACTTCTTGTGATAACCAAGTCATTAAATAACCTGCCATTGTTCTCCTTGGGTGGAAGATGAGTGATGGGAGGAAGGAAGGAGACACAGAAAGGTGTGAGCAAAAGCAGTGGGGAAATTCTTTAACTAGTGAGTAATTTCTTGAGGGAGGAGTCCCCCATTATTGTTGCTTGATTGACTACTGCTAATAAGTATTAGCAATCTTTGAGAAATGTTTGTCATCCCAGTCCATTCATTACAGTGTAAATGTAATCTTTCTGAACTCTTAGAAATGCTAGTACTTCATCTCGTAGTTAGGATTTAATGTAATTTATAAGGCACCTGACTCTCAAAACAAGGAAGTTTCAGATATTTTAACTACTGACATTTTTTTTATCCAGCAAGGAAGYTTGAGAAATACCCAAGCAAGGCAGCAAGCCTTCTTGCAGACCAGACAGAGTGGGCTGCTTCATATCAGAAGCTGCATTTCCTATTTTGTTTCTCTGCCAGAAATTCTTATGCCAGAAACTGTCATTTGAGCTTTTATCTGCTTTTGAAGGGAAGGAAGCTAACCATCCCAGTAACACTGCCATCACTGCAACAGAAAATCTGCAGACAGTGGAAGGCTATGGAAAACTGCTAATTRCATACAAATGCGTAATTTCCCCAGGCCATGATGAGCAGTGATAAAATTGCCAGCTCCATTTTACAGTGGGGACATCCTTAAGTACAGATCTGTCTTTAATATTCAAAGATCTGTGAACAGTTCAGAACTAATGCAGTAGCAAATATATTTTTTCATGTCTGTTGCTAGTTTTGCTGCATTGCTACATATGCAATTAACTGTTAGAGCTATTGTAAAGAAAATCACTGAGACTATTTTTCTTTTATTGGATCAGCCTCTTCTGGAGAACATACAAGCACAGGTTAGGTTTTTCAGGAGTTTAAAAAAAAAACTTCAACATGCTTAATTTCCAGCATTTTGGCTATGGGAATCAAAGCTGCTCTATTTAATCCAGGTATGGATGCACAAATTGTAGGGCTTCAGTGGGGAAAACCTTTCATAAATATGAGTGGAGAACTTGACCCAAAGTGGTTTTTAAATCTGCAAATGATCTGTAAGATTAAACATGGGTGAGAGTGAGTCTGTTTTTCTCACCTTGTGATGATAATATTTCTGATTGCTGTGGGAAAGTTGTRTGGTTATGGAGAGCATTTGGAATGTGTCAGATCTCCAAGAAAGATCTCAATGTTGTTTGTTGCCAGTCACGTCGAGTTACTGCTGTGCTGTGTGGCAGGATTCCAGATTGCGTCTCACTCGCATGGATTTATTTTTCAGAGCAGCAGTTCTCTAGGGAAGAAAACATCCTGAGTCTGGATTTRGTCTTTTGCATTTTTGGTAAACTCACCTCAAAGTAACAGCCAATACTTTATGCAGCTGTAACTGCCCAAAGTCTGTGATGTGCTGTCATGCCAAGAGGCAGCCTGGGAATGCTAGCAGAGGCAGTTTTACAGGTGAGGAAAAATAAAGCATATGTGAGGGAGTCAAAGCAATATTTGATGCATTAAGTTTTTTTAAAAAAATTAAGGTCTGTAAATGTGCTAATAACTGCATGGCTGTGATGACTTTGTGTGTGTATCTGAGCTGGGTTTGAAAGTGCTGAGCACCAACCCAGTGGCCTGTGACATTTGTCCTGCAGTGGGAACAGCAGTGGTGATGTCGGTGTTGCAAAACAAGCAAGCTGAGCAGGGGTGAAGCACGGCCTTTCTGAAGGAGTTAAGGAGCTGGAGCACAGGAAGACTGACAGTAGGCTGCTAGTGCAGTCTAGCACTCACCTCGAATGTACAGAGAGCARATGATCAAAGGTGCAGCCCCACTTGGGTTCTTTGTTATCTGAGTGCATTAGTTCCAATTGAACATATTCCTGAAGGTGCTGACCACTGCTGATGCTTTTCAGCCTGTCCCTAATTCACTGGATTTTTTTCTCAAATGTATATGCAGAGTGCTCCAAAAAAAATCTTAAGCAGAGAAATCCTGTGCAGAAATGATTCTATTATAAAAAAATAAAAATAAAGGCAGAGGGGAACACATTTAATGCTCCAGAGAAGACTAGAGTATCTCCTAGGATTAATGAGTAGCTGGGAGGAGCTGATTGCCTCAGGCATAGCCAAGGGCCATTAATTCCCATGTAATGCCTGATGCTGATGCTRTAGTTCCTTTTATAACCCAGGGGTTGACAAGCTTTCTATTTCTGTGTTTTGATAGGTGATGTTGTTGTTAMAATGAGTGCTCCTGCTTCTATGTGCTTATCCACTGTAGTGTTTGACAGAATTTTAGTTTATAAACTTCATGTGTTTCTAGATGGTGCATTGCGTGTTACCTACGTGCAAGTTTGAAACAGGTTATTGGTACTCTGCTCTTCCAGCCTTTGTACATGTCTTGCAAACACTGCAGCCCATGTTAGGTCTGGGTGGTATCCACACTCTTGTAAAAGAAAAATTGATTATCTCTAAATGAGTATACATATTTTTATGCATAGAGAAAATGAAAATTGAATATGTGGCTCCTTTATGATGTGGCTGTCATGTAAGGCAACATGCAGCTTGTTACATGCATTTTAATTTTTTTAGGAAAACAAAATAATCCTGAAATTTTAACTAATGTATTTAATACCCAAGGAATGATGATCAAGAGGCTAGTGCAGTTGGTTGTAATCAGTGACCATCACATGCTGCTTACATGCATGCGCATGTACACAGAAGTGTACAATAAAGTATTGCTGGGCAGATCTTACAATTCAGGAGAAAAAAAGCTCAAATTGAAGAGACAGCCCCTGTTTCCCAGCTTAGCAGGTCATGTGAACACACATGACTTCCAAGCAGTGCGGAGTTTAGCTAGCAAACAGCCGACATAAGAAGGTTTTTCAGAACGATTGACTTCAATCTGTGATAAAAATTCTATTTTTTTYCTCAAGAAGAGAGTTATTTATCTTTTATGAGACTGCCTCACTGTCAGAGACCCAAAAACATTTTACAGGGGTAAAATTTAGCAGTGACATGCGGTGGTAGAGGGAAGATGAGCGGAGCATCACCGCGATGGTTCTGAAGGACCTTGGAAGCRCGGCGCTGGAGCCGGCCTTCCCGACGACGGCGCGCTCCGGAGGGCCGGGAAGCAGCACGGCGTAGTGGCCCGGCTCGGGCAGTGGSACTGGCGCCTCAGAGCCCCGGCACAGGTGAGTTAACCCCATGAGAACTGCGGTCACTCCGCTTTGGAAGGGGCAGGAGCGGCAGCYGAGCTGCCTGTACTTAGCACTTGTGGTAAAGATGTGGATTGTCTTGCTGAGCTCTGAAATTCCAGCGCTGCATTGATTCCAAGAAATAGATATGAGCTGTTTCAGGGTTGATTTAGGATAAATAACCACTTCCTACAGTTCTGTCTGTGCTGCTTATTTACCCAGCTGTGCCTTGTCTAGTTTATGAATTCAAAATCAATCGTAGTATAGAGAGCTGGAGCATCATAGARCAAAAGGGTAGGTTTAGGATAGACCATTCCTTGATAAGCTAAAAGTAAGACTGTAACTTATATTTTTTGTTGAAGTACTTATTGGTAAGTTGTACTTAGAGTGTATAAGCAGTAGTGTGGGAGAAAGTTGGTATATAGATTTTTTCTTATACATAACATTTTATTGACCCTTGTGTTTGTATCACATACAAGAAGGGAAAAGAGCTTTTTTCATTTTATGAAATTCTAGTTGAAATTCTTTCTTATTCCCTCATGATTGCCTATTATAACATTTCAGCACCTTTCATTGAAAAGCAGGATTTCAAGGAAAAGTGGTAGTTTTCTAATGCTTTAGGTCCTTTCTTTTCTTCTCTCTGGCTTTCTTTGCTGTTGCAGTTTGGCTTGCCACTGTGCAGGAGGAGGAGGAGGAAGAGGAGATAACCTTCTCTTGCCATCCTCCCCTTTCTTTGGCTCAGAATAAATTCTGTCTTGCCATCCTCCCCTTTCTTTGGCTCAGAATAAATTCTGTAGTGTTTGTAGAGTGATAGAAAATGAGTGGTGGGAGAGAGAAGGGTAGAAGAAAGTGAGAACTAAAGGAAACCTTTGTCCTCTGAACTATTCATGCAGCTGTATTGCCACCCATTTGAGAATCACTGTACTAAAAATTAGACCATTTTAGTGTGTAATGAGTATTTCATCTTCCATAACTGGAACCTGGCCAATGATACCATCTTAATTTCATTTCTTTGACCAAAGAACTTGTAAAACCTGAAGAAGATAAATGACGACTTAGAAAGCTAGTCTCATGGAGACTGTATTTACCAGGTGAATTGGGGGAACTATCTGAGGTGATTCTGATCTTTAACAAGATATGGGTAAGACTTCATCTCAAATCCTCTTAATTGGCCTAAAAAGTCATGCTGAAATCTGCAAAGGATCCTACTAGTTGACAAAGCATATGCGTGTTGCTGCAAGGCTCATAGGGAAATAGGATTGTGTGCTTATCCCAGAAACTTTAGTTTTCTTTGYTATGATTCCTTTTCTTAGCAGACTTTTTGTCTCTGTTCTGATCTTCTTTGGGATCAGAATGCACTGGATTTCTGTTTCAGAGACTGTTCTGTAGATGAGAGYCTCTGAAAGGAGGATGTGTGGAGCTCGGTGCCTACTTTGTTCAGCAGAGRCAGAGGGGCCACCATTTGGGCACATAGAGGAATAACTGCAATCTCCTGGGCTAAACCTGCTCAAAAGTATAAGCTTCACATCAAAAGTATCCCAGAGAGGGGCCAGCAGCCCTTACGTGCTGTTTCTGAAGGGACATGTCGTTGTAGCTGGGTCCTGGCTTATTGTTATTTGAATGCATCTCGTTTGAGTTTCCTTTTTCTTTGAAAGGATTTTTTCCCCTAATATTTTAAAACTTCCTTCCTCATGTTTGTCTTTTTTCCAGATTCCAAAATTAGATCAAGTCCCATTTCCTCATGGGACTTCTGGTGCAAGGAGACATTGAGYTTTTGCAGCCCCTAGTCTGGTGGCGCCTGCTCCAGCGGATGACCYGCGCTCTCGTGCACGCTGTCCCAAAACGACTGGGCAGTGGCAYGCTTTAAAAGCTAATGCATGTCCCCTGTGCTGTGCAGTCCCCCTCAGCCTGTGCATTTTGAATTTTCTTGATGATTTTTGCTTGTCCTATTTGATGAAGGTACTATTTAATCCTTGACTTGCCTGCTACTTTTCTCATTTGACATGTTAACTGTTGAGTCGGAAAAAGATATTTTAAGAATGGGCTTGTCAAAGAGGATATCTTCTCCCCTCAAAGACCTCTAAGGATGAATATTTGATTAAAATGTGACTGTAGCATTAAAATGGGTGCCCTGTGTCGTCTTATAAATGCATGACCAGTGAACTTGTGGACTGCCTAATTTTTAATTGGCAAATTATTTAGTGAATGCTTCTGGGGAAACTGCAGGGGAGGGTTAGGAGTTGGTTGTTTTTAGATAATTTAATTGGTACTTTTATTCCTAAAGGTAGTGTKAAGATAAATACATACAGATTCAGTTGACGTTTCCTTTGTGGAAATTTGGAAAAGGATATGTTCCAGAACATGGGATAAAGCCCCAAGCCCTGAGATGGGCAGCCCAGCATCAAAGCAGGATGTTGGCTTTGTGGCCATCATAGCTGTGGCTTTCTGCATGACCCACGCAGCTGCTGCATGGCGCTCTGCTCCGTTTGCCTGCCTCTTATTTGGTGAGGTCCAGTGGCACCTCAGTGGCAGCTGGTAAAAATCGGTCCTTGAAAGGGCTTGGAGGTTGAATGTCCATCCCTTTCACTGCCCTGATAGTATATCAGTCTACTGGAAAATATTAAAGAATGGGACATCAGGAAAAGGAAAAATGCATAACTGGATTAATTAGGAATAATTTAAGTTTGAATTTTTTGGTAGCACATTCACACTTTGTAAGGAGAAGACTGTCCCATTTCATGTGTATGGGTTTGGTGTTAGTATTCTTGCCGAAGTAACATGTAACAGCTTATAAGAACAAGGATAAATCATGAATGGCTGTAGAAATAATCACTTGGCGTCTCTGCCTGAGTCAGTGTGTGGCTTCTGAAAAGGTCTTTGACTGGTTTTCGTTGCTCAGTAGTTGTGAGCTATTAGCTTCTTCCAGAATAGCACAAAGTGTGAAATAGCACAAAGTATAAAAAAACCCAAGACCCAAAGATGTGCTGTTCTTTCTTCCAAACCAGAAAGCTTGATGCAAGTGGCGTGTTCAGGCAGTGTGGAGTGCCTAGATATCCCCTATCCTTTGAGCAGGCCAAGGAGTAGCACTGGGAGCTGCAGTCAGAGGGACCTCTTTCATGCTCTGAAGCTGCAAGATGGGCAATGGGCAAGTGCTTACCCATCTGGGTATTCATGTCTGTGCTGTGGGGACAGCAGGGAATGCATCAAATTCAGGGGGGACTTGACTGTTGTTTAGCTGCTTCTTCATTTGAAGAAGAGACATTTTAATTAGAGGAAAGTTTTTATAAATAGGTCTTTAACCACCTTTATGCTACATCAATAAATTTTTCTCTTCTGGTTGATGCTGATGAAATTGCTTTAGTGAGACATCCTGGAATGCAGTACAGAGTGCGTGCAGTATATATGTACAGCATTTTTTCTTAGAAGACCATTAGAATGTTAAATATAAGATATAAAATCAACTTACTTTACCATTTGAAAGCAAAACCAAGTGCTGTGGACTCAGTGAATTTTGGTTAATTTTGTAAATGTCTAAATATGTATGGCTTTGTGGGGAAAAATGTGACTATTCTGGTAGTAAAGAAGCCGCACACAGTACCAGTGGCTAAAGTCTTCTATTGCTCTTTTCTGACTGTTCTTTAAGATTGCAGCCTGTTTGGCAGAATTTCCTAAAAAGCCACCTTTGTTCTCTGATCTTGCTCACAGGAGGGCCCTGCTGTGCTCATGGGGAAGATGCTGTATTGGGGACAGGAGCAGGACGAGGCAGCAGGGGCTGGGGCCACTGGAGCACTGAATACTYGTTACTGTGGAGCCACAGCCCGCAGTGGGGGGGCACAAGCGAAGGGGTGAAACTGGATGGAATCTGGATTTGAACTAACTCTTTTCAAGGGAAATTCTGGGAAATAAGATTCATAGATGGGAAAACCTCATACCTTGCYAATCAGCATCATCAAGGTGTGCCACAGTTTTAAACCAGGAGCATAGGTAATTAAGTGCTGATGAGAAATAAACTGCAAGAGGCAGAGAAGAGGATTGCAAGAGCATGGTATTGAATAGCTGCATCAAGTTCTGACTTGGATTTCATGATGAATAATTTAGATACTAATATATCCTGGCATTTGAAAAGCCTAGCATTTGAGAATTGTAGTGAAGTCTGTGCCTATGTTGAGGGGGGGRAAAAATCTTTAAGTTCTGATACTATAAATGAAAATAAAGTAGGTTGTTTTCTACAGCTGTCACATTTAACATTGATGTTCCAGTGGGTACATTCCCATATCCATGTGCATTCTTCTTAGGACTCCCCATTTTTAGCTTTGGTGTTGCTAAAATCAGTAATTTCTATCAGCTCTTAGGAAGACGCTGAAGAGGCAGGAACCAGTTTTCCAGCTCTGCTGCAGGATGTGTTTGAAACTGATGTTTGAAAGGGTTGTCCAAAGGTGGTGAATTGTGCGCGCCTGGCCCCTGTGTGACAGTGTCCCCAGACTGGCGAGGGGACTGGGGCCAGTTCTGCAGGTCTGATCCTTCTTGGGTTGGCCTCATGGTGTTGAGACTTCTGCAATGGGACCTRCTCCTCTTTAACATTTGCAAATTGAACTCAGTATCGGCTCTGTGTATCTTGTGCCCTCTCAATATGGCATGCAGCAGCAGCAATAGCTCAGGGAAAATGTACCGAGAGGGGGTGGGAAMAAGAAGCACATGGTAAATTAAATTATTGGCCTAACTTAAATTTCTAGTCTGATGGTATGGTGTGTTGAATTCTGGCAGCAGAGAGGCCTGGGTGGAATATTTAGTCCCAGTATTTCTGCTGGACAGAATTATTTTTTTTTCTCACTCATAATGGAACTGTAATT